GGGGTACAAGACCTTGCATGATTCATGCAAAACCCATTAAACTAAGATTAACCTTGTTTTGCAAAGTGAGCTAGATTTTGGGCAAAGCTAACCTTCAATTGTTCCCTAGGGGAATGAGTAATCACTACGAGGAGCTGGTAATTTTTAGCTTGTCCTCAGACCTACGGAAATATCTTTGCTCTTTCCATGCATCTGTAAGAGCAACTGTTGTTTTCAGTCATTCAAGGGGAAAGTGTGCGGTAAGTGCCTCTTCTATTTTTGTGGTAGACTCCACAACAAATAAAGAAAGTCTCTCTGGGAAGCCTGAGGGTGGCTTTTTGGAATGTAAACTGCAAGGTTTAGAGAACTGTTGTGCAATAGTAAAACCAATTGATGAATTTGAGAGGATGACCTGTGATCACTTTGCCCCTTATTCATGATATGCTTCATTATTATGTGCCTTGTGGCAAGGGGTAAAGTGGAGGTACTATGGTGGTAGAATGCTTAGGAGTACAGGCTGCTCTTATGCATAGAGGAAAAAAATCTAACCTTTCACCCATAGACTGAATGTACAGATTCTCAGCATGTGTTTGGCACAGTGCAAATGCTTAGGAATTGGTAACCATTATTATTAGCAGCTTACTAGACTTTGAGGACACGTGAATCATATTTAAAACTACAAAAACATTAACATTTACTTTTAACTTTAGACTAATTTTTTTTTTTTTTTTTACAAGGAGCTGAGAACTCTATTAGCCTGTATTTGGCTTTTAAAAATGAATTTTAGGATTTATTGATGTCTTGTAAAAATGTGCAATGTTCAGTATAGAAAACTAAAAATATATGAAAACATATGTAGGCTTATATGTATATGTAGACATATATGTCTTTCTTAAAAAACTGAATAATCCTACTTCTCAGGAATATGACTGTTATCAGCATTTTTCTATATAATTTCAAGGATTAGATATGCATAAATATTTTAAAAATCAAAATGGGAATTGATTGTGAAAGCTGGTTTGGAAACTGCATTTTACATTTATTATTATATTTAAAACTTTTTTTCTTTAAAACTACTAATTAATTTTAGTAGTTTTTGTTAGCTGAATAATAGTTTTTGTTAGTTGAATAATATTTCTTTTTTTTATTTAAAGAGAGAGTGAGGAGAGAGAGAGAGAGAGAGAGAGAGAGAGAGAATTTTTAATATTTTAGTTTTTTTAGTTATCGGCGGACACAACATCTTTGTATGTGGTGCTGAGGATCGAACCCGGGCCGCACGCATGCCAGGTGAGCGTGCTACCGCTTGAGCCACATCCCCAGCCCTGAATAATATTTCTTTGTGTGGATTTTCCATAAATCAAGAAATTTCCTATTTTCATGTATATCAGTTGTTTCTATTTATTCATAATTATTTTAAAAATACTAAGATGCATATCTTTGTAGCCAAGTCTCTTTAGATAAATTCTTAGGAACAATTTGGGAGTGAATGTGTAATATCCAGGTATTAATACCTATTGTTATTTAACAAATTATCTCAAACTTAACAGCTTAAAATAACATACTTTTATCATCTCAGTTTCTGTGGGTCAGGAGTTCAGGCACAGCAGATTTGATTCCTCTGCAAGGCAGCAATTTAAGTGTCCCTTGTCAGTTGGGATTGTGGTCTCATCTGAGGTTGCACTGGAAGAATCCACTTTAAAACTCACTCACGTCATTGGTTGAATCCATTTCTTTGTTTTGTAGGACTTCAAGCTTCATTTTCTTCCTTATGATAGGTAGGTTCAGGAGTGCCTTCAGATCTGAGATAGCCTGGAAGTTCATTGCCACATTGACCTTCTAACATAGCCAGTCTAAACATGGCAGCTTGCTTCTACAAACCAGCAAGGAAAGAGAAACATACTCCAGAAGATGGATATTAAAATCTGTTTCCTCTTTTTTGTTGTTCTTATTCTATTGAGTAGCCACATGTTACAGGTCCACACGAGAGCATACAGAAAGGTGTAAACCCTGGTAGGTGATTATGGAGGCCACCCTGAGAATGTATCCACTACAATACATTTTTTAAAGCTTTGATAAATATAACCAAACTGAAAATATATCTCTGTTAGCCCAGAATTATTGTGACCTTGTCTTTAATTAACCTTGATCAATTTGTCTATCGCCATTTAACAATTAATCTGGCAATTTGATAGGAAAAAAGTGATATATTTTAATGTGTTTGTATATTAATGAACCTAAATATATTTTATTTTTTTTTAGTCATTTGCATATTTCTATTTTGCAAATTGCCTTTCATGTCTTTTGGGTAGGCTGTTAATGCTTTTTGTTGTTACACTTGATGCAAGTATTTCTTCCCCATTTTTCTGCTGATTGTTTTGTTGAGAATATTTCAGCATATGTCATATTTTATTTTATTTTATTTTAGTCAAATCAGACATTCTCTACCTTATTGTTATTCTCTTTGCCACCACATAGAACAAGTGGTTTCCTCCTCTGGGATTATGTAAATATTCTAAAGCATTTTATAAAAAACACTTAAAACAACTTTATGTCTTATTTTTGCATTTACATTTAATGTATATGATATGTATTTAGTATATAATATAAAACAGATATTTCTTTTTATTATTTTTACCATAAATTGTTAGTAAATTTCTAGGAACTCATTAAGACTAAAAAGTCTAAAGAACCAGAACCAATGGATTGAGACTTGTAGAATTTTTAGCATCATAGAGGGTGGATAGAACAGATTTATTTAGGAAATGGGAGCTTGTTATTCCTCATGGTAGCTGGTGGCTGTGTCTATTTGTTAACACCCTTCTCTTATGCCCTGAGTTTATTTTTTGTCTGTGAACGTTGCAAAGAAGTACTGCAATAAATGCCAGTGAAGTGACTGTGAGGTCAATCAAACCAAGAATGTTTGACCTTCCACTGGTCCCTTCACTTGTGTAGCAGAATCTGCTATCTATTCAAAAAATTGCATTTTCCTCTTTTCTTCCTAATAATAAAAACTTCTTAAGTTGTAATAGGGCTTGTGAACATCTGTTTATAGTTTGTACTTCCCAACCTCCCTTGCAATCAATCATGGATGGCCACCTGATATGGCCCATGGGATGTTTGCAGTTTCTTGGTGGTAGACTTAAAGAGGCTTTCTTTGGACTCCCCCCCACCACACACACACACCCTTTCCTGTGTGCAGGAGATAGAGCTTTGACCATGAAAGCAAAAGCAACACTATAGGGCTGTGAGCCTAAAAGCATGGTCTCTAAACCATGAGCACCAACATCACATGAAACTTGTTAGAACTCTAAATTCTGAGGTCCCACTACAGACTTACTGAAGTAGAAACTCTGGAGTGGGCTCACTCAGAAAGTCCTCAAAGTGATTCTGATGTCCAAAAGCAGAGACCTGCAAACTACAGCTATGGGCCGAAACCATTGGGTAACCAAATTTTGGTGGCCCAAGTAGTTTCCCCACTTTTAGAGTTGTTAACAACAAAATGACAGAACTGAAGAAGAATACTTAATCAAGATTGCATGTGACCTACAAAGATTGAAGTATTTATCTGAAGGTCCTTTACAGTAAAAGTTTGCCAACCTCTGCATCAAAGTTTGATGCCTCCTCCCACAGAACATTGGGAGAAGAATTTTAGACCTCTGAATGACTTTGTGGAGCAGACTGATTCTGTCATGTTGACCTGCTTATACAGAACTGCATAAGCAAGGAAAAAACTATTCTATTTAAAACCTCCATCACTGGAGTCTCTGTTATAACAGCTAGACCCACAATGTAACCAATGTAGCAGGTAAAAATGAGCTTCTCTGAGATTCACTGATCTTACTTCCAACACCCTGAAGTAGTCTGAGGTTTGCCTTTTATCTCCAAACTCACAGCTCTCTCCATGTCTCTCTTTAAAGATACAGATGTTTGTTTGATTCACCCTATGGTCCTCTATGCATTTTGAGTACCAGAAGCTTCTGGAAAATTTATTGGAACTTTAAGGTTAAGTTCAATCTACTTACACTTAAATCTTTCCCATCAAAAGTATTTCCTTAAATGCATTTGTTCAGTAATCTTGTATTTGTATATCCTTATCTGAAATATTGAATTGGAATGCTCAGTGTGCCATCATTGAACAACCATTATGACCTCATATTCTGACTGATGCAAACAGATTCATCCTTGCGTGGAAAGGTTCCTTGAGTGACATCAGTTCTCAACAAATAGAACTCGGTGGTAATGTCTGCAGCTGTTGGCATTGGAATTCCTTTTTAAGAGGGTAGTTATGATTTAGGCCAGAAGCTGGGACTCTGCAATTAGGGAAGAGATTAAAAAGGCTTAAATGACCTTGTAAGGAGTCAGGTCTGTATTTCCGGCTATTTATACTCCCTGTACCAAGGAAATCATCCTGTGTATAATGGAGACTCAGCCCCAGGAAGGGATTCTGAATCGGAAGGAAGAGAAAGAGTGGACTTAAACTTTGTTCGTTGGCAAATGCAGTTCTTTTGTAGGTCTTTGGGGGAATGTATATATCGAATAGCAAGAAAGCGGGTAAAACTTGGCTTCCAATCAGAGCAACGTATCCCCAGATAGGGCGTCTACACAGCAAGCTCTGGTTTGGGGCAGCGGGTGGCGGGGTGGCCGGGCTTGCCAGAAGAAGCGGGTGCAGGTCGCGGGGATGCACTGGCTCTGTCGCACACCATAAGCCTAGTTGTGGACCACAGGCTCGCTCGTGTCATTTTGTGTGCAGTAATGAAGCCTGACGAGAGGTCTCCAGCTTGCCGATAGCCGGCTGTTGTCCTAAAAATGCAAACCATCGCCTCGGGCCATGGAATCGGGAACAGGCAGAGGACAGAGGCTCCGGCTGAGCGCCCCACTGCTCGCCCTCCCTTCAGCACTGGCAACTTGGATGTAGAAAGCTGGTCTTTACCCTTGTACATAAGGACACAGAAGAAAGGGATTTTTTTTTTTTTTAAAGATGTCCCAGAGGTCGATGGTTTTAATCCTGACATTTTTTTTTTTTTTTTGCAGAGAACATATCAGGGATGGGGGAGGAGGGATGGCAATCGCCAATCCTCCAGCCCCCTGTGTTTTCTCATGCAAATTCGCCTTTTGAGCTTGAAAGCGGCCTTTTCGGCTCCTCCCCCAAACCTCTCCCTGCCCCCTGCCCCCTTCTCTCGGTTCTCTCCTTAGAGTGGGCGAGTCGATTTCCGCCACCCTTGGCAAGGCTTTTCTAACAATGGCTCATTAATATTCGGTGGCGCAGGCTTGCCAGGAGAGCGCTAGAGTTCTCATCTCCCGGCCCTGGGCACCGAAGACCCCTCGGGCTACTTCGAAATCCCTGGCCCCGGAGGCAGCCCTCCGCCAGCGCAGGCGGGCGCAGTGGGGCGCTGCTCCAAGATCTAAGACCCATAAAAACAGGACTTGTCTGGGGTAGCTCCTCCTGGGCCTGAGTCATCTATGCAAAAACAAATTTGTTCCTTTTTGCAGTGTTTGTTGTCTTTGTCTTGAAACGTAGCCTTTACGCTTCCCAAGCAGCATGCGGGTCCTAAGACTGCGAAGACTTCTTTGACTCTTGCAGACAAGCATTTTTTGAGGTAAACCTTGGCCCTCCTTCCCTGGGAGGGTGTTAGCAGCAGCAGCAGTTCACATTTCAGAAACCCTCCTCTTCCCTGTTGTTAACCTCCTTGGAGGCAAACTCCTGAAATGGAGGGGGAGAAATGCACTTTTCCTTGTGTTTTTAGGCATCTATTATTTCTATGGAATTCTTGACAGACAACAAAGAATTTAAAAAAAAATACAACTGTGGATTTTCTGCTGTCAAGGAAACAAGCTGTTCTCCCCATTTAAGGATCCCTTGGTACGCCTGGTGAAAACTTTATTAACAATTGATGAATACATTCAATGGCCTCACAGAATTCACCTGGAGTCATTTCTAGAACCACCATGTGCTATGGGGCAAGCTTGATGAGTCTCTGATTATGAATCCCGTCTGTGCAGAATGCCCCTGGTTTTCTGGAAGGCCTGAGGAGAGGTGCTGAGCCCAGCAGGTTTCCGCCCCAGGATGTGGAATAAAGTATGGACAGTGCTATCACTGTGGCCAAATGGGGAAGATCCTTGACCTCATCCATTGCCAGGTCCACTGCCCACACTCCTATAACCAAAGACTAATTGACAAGAAAAAAAAGGCATAACAAATTTAGGTAATTGAAGTTTCAAGAGGGGAGTCTTCAGAGACTCAAAGACCCAGGGAAATGTGTTTTTATGCTTAGGCTTGATAAAGAATGGACAGCCATGTACCAATGTGTTTGGACAAAAAGAGTAGGATCTAGGGCTGATAAATGGAGGAACCTAGCTAGGCCTGTTTGTTTAGATTGTTCTTAGCTTTTCTGGGCTGCATTATCTCCCCCCATCACCTATGGGGCAGGAAACTTCTGGAAGGAGAGTCTTATGACCTACTTTCAGGGGAGATAGGTCAGAGAGTGATGCTTCTATGCTTCATGACTTGCTGTAGGGGGAATGAATTCTGTTTTTTTATGATCTGCCTTGGGAAGAAATGAGGGAAGGAGAAGGAAGCGCAGGAAAAGGTCAGGGTTTCTGAAGCCCTGCCAGTTTCAGTTCCAATTACTCAGCATACCAAAAGGCCATCCTTTGGGATATCACGTTCTAAGCCCCAGTGCTTCACACCTACATAGCAGTTTTTCATAAGTCCTTCCGCATAACCATCAAACTTGGTAACCCCATTGGGCACTCAAAACACTGTTTGGGGCTGGGGGTTTGGGGGAGAGCAACCAACAGGGGAATTACCAGCAGCCAAGATTGAATTTCAAGTACAAGACCAATAATAGCCCATAATGTCCTCATTCTGCACTTTTCTTTCTTTTGCATCTCTCCTTATTTATTTGCTGATAACTTTCCTTAAAATCCCATTTTCCTGGAGAGTTGAGCAGGGAGAACTTCTCTCTTGCTGTGCTCATGTCCTCATGGACTCTTTTCTTCTTGGTTAAGAATTAATTGTTCCACGAACCACTCTGATTTCAATTCAGCTTTATAAACCTGAATTGTGACCACTTTAGCAGTACTCTACGGTTTTCAGAGTGATGTAAATGTTCTCTTGATTGAACATCACAATGACCTTCTGAGATAGGGATTCTCTACTTCATTCTCTGCAAAACCCAGGGCAAGAGGTGAATTTATCCTTTCTCTTGGTCACCTTGTTTCACTGCCACTCCCAGACACTTGATTGGCAACCAGTGTATATTCATAAATGCACAAAGTCCATTCTCAGCCTCTATGTTAGCAGATATGCTATGGTATGTATCAAAAATGGTGATTCAAGGTAGGATTATATTCCTTTGACAAGAATATAATCAAAGTATTATGTTGTTTCAGAGAAGGTGGAAAAAGATAAGATGTGGGTTAAAGACATGGCCTTTGGAATCATAGGGACCTGGGCTGAATCAGCTTCACAACTTGTTGGCTGCAGACATGAGAAAAATTATTCAACTTCTCTGAATTTAAGATTCCTCATCTGAAAAACAGGTTTATTTTACCCAGAGCATTTTCATGGGGATTAAATGAACGAATGTATATATGTAACTCATTAAGCCTAGCACAGAGTGAGGATGCATTAAATGGTAGCAATTATTTGAAGACTTTGCATACTAGGATTTTGACACATACGGATGGACAGATAATGACATTTCCTATAAATTAAGAACCTATTTCTAAGGTTTCCTAGTCTAAAATCACATATTGAATGATACATATCCTCTTGCAAAGAAAGTGGTTACCAAGATACTTTATGATTTGACTTGTATTTCACAAAACTCTATCACTTTTTCATTGAAATCTCTTGATAATTCTTTGAATAGGTAATATCACATGTCCTTTAACAGGGGAGAAAATTGGAGCCCCAGGAGGTAAAATAACTTGTTCTCAGTCATATTTTTGGGAGGCAGACTTGACTCCCTTTTCTGATCCCTGCCCCCAACTTTTTTTCCTTTAGACCTGTGTCTCTGACATTTGTCTAGGGCTTGTGGTGCACCAGGAATGCTCCAAACACTTCATTCTTACTGCATCTCCTTGAAGTAACACTGTCATTACCCAAAAATGGAGGGAAATGAGGCACAGAGAAGGTAAGAAATAACATGCCCCCATTTCACAGTGGTATGGGGCAGAGATGCATTCCACTTCAGGTGGGCTGACTCTGGAGTCTACATGATAGATCATGGATGACAGTCTTCCTATGGGATGATGTATCCCCTGGTGTATGCTCGGTGTGCTACAGTTTCTTTTTTCTGATTCCTTCTATCTTCTTCCAAGTTGAATAAGAACCAGCCTGAGCTGGACAGGTAGTCAATAGTTGTTCACCACACTGGGCAACTTACCTTGGCAAACAATAGCAGCAAATATTTGGGTTGCTCAGGTGCAATGAATACCAAGGCTCTCTTTGATGAGGAGCAGCAGTGTGGTTGAGGGGACATAAGGTTCAAGGTACAGGGGTAGTGAGGGTAGAAGAGAAAATGAAATTTGGAATAAGCAGACTTGGAAAGGAGACCATGCAAGGATGGGGAACTGCTTCTCTGGAATCTCTAACAAATCACTGGAACATTTGGGATCTTAGCTAGGACATCTGAAAAACAATGAGGATAATATGAACACTTTTCCCACCTGATTCACATATTGTTCTGAGAATAAAAGAAAGCAATGAGTGAATTTTCAATTTGTCCTGTAGAAGGTATATGATTATGAATCAACAAAGGACTCAAACTTTAATGTGAAGTAAAACCTGTTTTTTTATATTGGCTAGAATGACTAGTGGGAATAATTTGTTTCTGTAACTAAACACAGAACTAGATCTCTATGACCAACCTTCTTATGCACCTTGGCTTCTGAGTGCATTGAGTTATCTGCATTTTAAATGATGGCCTCAAAATCCTAGTCTTAGGAGAAGACTTGAACCTGGGGGTCTCATCAGCTTTTGACCTTTATCCAAAGAATAAAGAGGGACCATCTGGTCAGAATGCAGAAGAACCTCTTTCTGTGCTGTTATTGCTGCCATCACAGCACTTACTGCAGTCTCTCTGCAAAGGTTGTTATAGCTTCTTTATTTGTGGATGAGAAGGGAGGGTTCTCTGGGCCCTCACAGGCCTGAGCCTACAAAATTGGAGCCCTAGGTGAGCGGCTTTCTCTGTCCCCATGCCTGCCACTCCACCTAGGCACAAAGTAACTCTAGAGTGATTGCCAGCAGAAGTGAGCCTCATCTGCCTGATAGGACCTGTCCTCCTCTTCAAAGTCCCAGATCCTGATTCTGTTTCTTTCTTTCTTTCTTTCTTTCTTCTTCTTCTTCTTTTTTTTTTTTTTTGCTTGTAATGACTCATCTATTAGTAGCTCCTTTTGTCTCTCCTGGATTCACCCTCATCCAGGATCCAACTACAGCCTGTCCACATACTGCCCACCACCATTTTTATGGATAAAGTTTATTGGAACAAAACCATGGCCATTGGTTTACATATTGTCTGTGGCTTCTTTCCTGCAGCAGAGCTGAGCACACAAAGCCTAAAATATTTATTATCTAATCCTTTTCTGAGGAAGTTTGTCTAAGTACCTGTGACCCTTCAAAATGCTAAGATGACAGCAATATTAACATAAAATATTCTTGGTCCTTTTTCTTCCTCTTGAAAGATTTTAAAGTCAAGTAAATTGATGGGGGAAAATAAATGTATGTGCAAGAGGTAATGCCACTTATCCTGAAGTACCTTCCTTCCAGGTTCTTATCAAACCGTCAATGCATTCTTTTATACTCTTACCCTGCAATGATTTTTTTTTCCCTCAGAACAAAGAAGATGAGTTCTAAGTTGGCTTGATGTCTCCACTCCCAGAAATAGAAATAGGTAGTCAGTTTTAAATAGAAAATGATTCTGACTCACCAGTATCCTGAAACACCCTCCCAGAGATAGAAAGCACTATCACAGGGCACACCCAATCGTACGGCGTCTCAAAATAATAGTACTAGTGGTGACTTCTGGTGACTTTTAGATCTCTTAAAGATTGACAGACCTGAAATCAATCTTTCTAGAAAGATTCTTTGAACAATAATCTTTATATTGAAAACAATTTGTGAGATAAGGCGAGGTTTTAAATAGTATTAGAGTCATGTTGACCTAGCTGATTAAAAAACGAGAATATTCATAATATATCTTGGCTTTTCTCTTTCCCTTCAAGAGCCTTGTTGTACAACAGGCTGAGCTAAACATGCTGTGTCAATCTCATCTTTTACATTTCCCGGGTGTTTTCTTCTTAGATCATGCAACAACCCTGTCATTATTTTAAATATTTTTGCCTGTAAATTGCAGAATACTTGATCTGATTTTAATAGGACCCATGTGTGAAATCCTTTACTTTTTTTTTTCAATCTATCGTTCTGATTCTTTCTGCTCTTTAGTACAGCACAGCTTGGTAGCACTAGGTACGTCTTGTTGAAAGTATGTCCATAAATATGTCCCTTGCAGCACGGAACAGCTTGTTAAATTGGCAGTCCTCAGCAGTTTGCCTAGAAAAGTTTGCCTCACTTGCGATAGTCCAAATGTAGGGCAGAACACAGCGTAACTTTTTATCTAATTTTACCAATTGACATATTCTCCAAATTTTTAACTACCTCGTGCCTTTTCCTTACAGTGCCACCAACTTGACTTTAAAACTGGCTAAATGTTCTCACGATTGCCAAATGTGGATAAGGAAATTACCTAATTTAATACTGAATGTTAATTCAGGGAAAATATTGTAACTTAAGACAGGATGCCATAGTCATTGTGGGAAAAGTGCTTTGGCAGGAGCGAGGCCACTGATCTGCCTTATGGAGGGAGGGGTACTGTTTTCTATCATGACAAGGGCGGGGCTCATTGAGTTTGGTCAATTAAATCTTACTGATTGACAAGCTGCTCTTAATGACACCCCATTTCTGATGTTGATACTCTTTGATAGTTTACTGATTTTTGGCATACTCTGATTTCTATCTCTCTTTGGGATCCTAGGGGTCCTAGAATTAGGGATGATATGTATACAAGGACTTTT